CTAGATGGTTCACTGCAATAGCTCTAGTCTAGTGTAGTTGCCTACCTATTGACCTTTGACAAAATTATAGTTTCTGTTGGCTTACTTTATGCCCTTTCCCACAGTAGTTGCTGCAAAACTGTGACAGAATATTTTTCGCATGGTTCGCGGGTCGCTGAGTATATCAAAATGTCATCTACGTATGTCTAATTCGGACAAATCTGTCTGCAATCGAATAAAAATTGACGGCAGACGAGTGTACTCTTTTTCACAGGAAAATATGGAGATATTGCAGCACATCACAATAGCTTCCAATAGCCCTGATATTGTAATTCTAATTTCTGTGATTTCTTCAAATGTCAGTGGGTATTGTTTCTCTCATGGTAAAATTATGTAAGGTTTGAGTCGAATGAGTACATCTGTGGCATGCTTTTGTTCATAGGTGTTTGGCAGGCTGTTGGATACAGGATGATCTGGAACTAGTGTGGTCGGATTGCTTTCGTTGTCATCGTCATTGTCATCAACCATTTCCACCTGCTGCTTGACTGATGTTCTGTCCAAATACAGCCTTTGCGACAATAGTCGGCCCATAGGACACTACTGAAATACATGTAATTGTTCCATCTGATGTCTTATGGTTGTACGGGTTGTTAGTAGGAACCCATTAAGCTCGTAGGCCTCTGGTAACCATTGGCCAAGTCTTTAGGGTGATGAGAAGGCGACACTCTGAGTATATGAGTTCAGCATGATCACTTGGAAATTATATTCTTATCGGGAATCTACAGTGGAAAGTCAAAAAAACAACTACAGAGAGATCACTATCGGTGATATACATAAGACCACACCCTGCAATGCAACAATTAACCATAATGCTTATTTATGTAAATTAACCTCAATATATATAATGGAACTGCTCAAATTGTGTATCTTCCCACCCGAAAATGCAAAAATGAAATTATCAAACAGTTTTTGTTTTTAAACAGCAATAAACAAACCGAACAAAATCAGCCAGCACACACAATGGTCACCACAGCAGCAATATTTACAGCTTCAGTAGCATAGGATGTTACTATTGTCCTTTATGATGTTCACTCAAGCTATTTAGGATATGCATACACAACTGTGCTAATACAGTTCTTGTGTGTTCTTCTCCTATTGAGCTTCAGGGGTTTATTTATTTCACTGACTATCTACCACAGCGCATAGGATTTGCTGAAGGTTGGACACCAATGTCAAACAATGTTTGTTAAGTCTTTTTATTTATTTTTTGTTTATTTTACTTTAAACTACTTTTATTAAGTGGACGCCTAGCCCTACAGTCAAACTAAGGATGATCCTAATGTAGCAGAATCTCGGCTAGCATTCACTACTGTGCCTGCCCTGCCTATTTATATAACAATAGAACAGCGGTTTCTCAGCAAGATGCTATTTTTTTTTTTACTAGTCCCGCCTAGATCATTGAGTACACACAGTGACTTTCCTATACTTCTTCACACTACCTATTTATATACCGAGTTTTTTGCTTCAGTTAGGACTTTCACTAACTCTCACACACACACCACTCATGCATACATCAGACACGCATTGTGATAACAGCAATTCACTTCAGCAGTTATGCAATTTAACCAAAACAAGTCATCACTCAGTCAGTCAGCAAACAGAACATCAATGCACAATTTAGCTTTTTATAATTCAGAATAATAATAATTTAGTGTAATTTAGTAGCATATTGGAGTCAATAAACAAGCGTCACAGGGTTCTTATTTTCTTACGATCGTAGGACAAAGCGGGAGTCACAGACTGCTCTCTTTCCCCACAGACAGAAACACCATATGCAGAAAATTTAGAAAAGGTTTTTCTGCTTACCTTTGTTGTGCTCTTAGAGTGGGCGGTCTGTGGTGAAATGAGGGCTGTCCGCCCGGAACCTGGACCCATCTTGTCCTCCTGGCTTGGCTCGCCAAATGTTGTGGTTTCATTTTTCTGTCTCAATGCACCTGAATTGATGTCTATCTGACTTTTAGCTGTCTGACTATAGTGAGAGACC